AACACCTACTACCTCAATGGTTCCACCTCACACATCAAACGGCGCTAAAGGGCATATGCTAGACATCGAAACTACCCATAAACTTGCTTCTTTCCTCGAAGCCAAACTTAGCCTCAAAAACACAACAGAAATTCCGAGACCGGTTCATGGGCCCCTGCAGTACGTGATGCAATCGTCTCAATCACTCCGAGCAAAATAAGCAGCGACAAGCGGCATCGCATTGCCTCTTCATGCATTCAAACACTGCCCCAGCGCCATCCACAAAAGGAAAATGAAGCAAGTAGCAGCAGCCACATGTTTGTTTCAGGGAACAGGAAACTGGACACAGAGAGCTAACAGTGAACTGCAAACTGGAGGACCGAACTCGGACAGTGAAGTGCAGACAGGGAACTGGAGACAGCAAACTGGGAACACAGAACTGGACAGGGAGGACTGGGACAGGCAGGGAACTTGGGAACAGGAAAGAGACGGGGAACTTGGGACAGGGAACTGGGAACAGGGAACTGGGACTTCCCTTCCACATTTCATTTTAGAGGCCCCCGCCGTGGCAGAGAACAATTGGTGCAATGCCAGGAAGCAACCTGCCAAACTCGTGGGGTCACGTCTGCACGAAGAAGACGAGCAGCGGGCTCTTTCGCCAGGTTGAGGAACAAGAGTTGAGAGTTGCTGAGCGCATTGCTAAACAATTCGTTGCCTCTGTTTCACCTCTCTTCATTGTGCCGGAAGGCAATGGAGGACGTTTTTCGTGCCCGTTTTTTCATTTCTGTAGTTGCTCGAGGAGGAGGCAGCGAAGCAGAGCGTTTGTTGAAGAGATTGCGAGGCAGCTCGAGCCAGCTCCGTCATGGGGTGATGTGTGCCGAGAGGCACAAGTCACCCTGAATTAACATGCGGGGTGCGAGGAAATGAGCCCGACCAAAAAGAAAAGGAACCAGGACCAACAAAAACACCCACAACCAACAAGAAAGCACCAAAAACAAACCCAAACCAATCACAAAAACCAAGCAGATCAGGCTCATGTCCGCTCAAGACGTGAAAAGCAAAAGGTGCAGATGCGAAGACAAACACAGGAGTGAAAAGGAACGATGAACAACAGTGTGCCAGAGCTTCCTCTCAAGATCACTCAGCATGGGCAAGTTAACCGGTGGCTGGCCAGCAAGGTTGCGACAGAACCTTGCAAGGAGGTGAAACAAGAGCGCTCTGGCCCGTGCAAAAACAAAAAAACGCCCTTTGCGAATGTGCCTGCAAGAGGATTTGAAGGTCAGCCTCGTTGTCCCAGTCACAGTGGGCGACATTCACTTTCCAATGTGTCTTCGCGGCAAGTGCAGGAGGCATAAGGCAGTGCGCCCGTGCAGATCGCATCCCGGGCCACTCCACCAATGCCCAATAGCCACATGCTGTTCCCTTTGCCGATCCTCCCTGTCAATCTGTGCTGTCCGAGCAAGGCTGGACCCAATCCAAATTGGAGGCTTGCCATTCGTGGCTTGCCCACCACTAGCAAGCCGCTCATAGAGCATGCAGCTGAGCACTGTGCCTCGTAATACAAGGTCAGTAGAAGGAAGGTTTGACCGATTTCTGCTTCGAAGATCAGGAAGCCTTCCACCAGCACTGGCTGGATTACAAAGGCTAAGGCTCGCATGTTCATCCATGGCTGTGGCCGGAAAAATGAGGTGCGTGCGCACACCCACCAAGCCCTTCGTGCGCCCAACACAGTCCAGCCACATTTGGGTTTGGACCGTTTGCTAGAGCAAGTCCGGATCGATGATGTCTGTTCGCTTCCAGTTGATCGGGATGAAGGGTATGCAACCAAGCAAACAGGTCAAGGACCCCACCATGATTCAGTGCCTCCTCCAATTCCAGGCCCGCATCAGGAGGATATGATCTGCCCAATAGTGTAGCCCATTTGAAGGATAACACCCAGGTGCATCCGCCACAATCGACATGAGTTTGTTTTCCTTTCCCTGAGTGGCATTCTCTTTGTGGGAAGCACAGTCAAGCAGAGGTACGCCCTACATGAGCACTTGAAAAACCTGGGAATTGGCGGGTGCCCTGCGCTTGGCAGGAGGCAAAGGTTGGCCAATGTTCGAGGCATTGGAGCGCTCTGAATGCGTGTGATCTCGCGGTGCAACAACAGGCGGTGTGTCTTTGCCCCCGTTTTTGGGTTCGATCCATGAATGATGAACCCTTCTTGCGTGATGTGCGGCACCAACCGGCAGCGCGAGAGCCACCACTTTTCAAAGGTAGGCCAGTGTGGAACATGCCCGGGTTGCCTCTTTGAGACACCTGGGCATGGCTGCCACCCTATAATCTAGAAAAACCAGAGGAAATGCTGGAAAAGCCTTTGAAAACCTACAAAGCCAGCGGAAAACGTGACAAAATCTAGGAAAAACCAAGGGCACTGGCA